CTTCTTCTTCTTCTCTTCAACCTTGTTGTCTGGCAGATGCATGAACATATACAGTTTGGGTTCTTTAGGGTTTGCCTGTTCTCGAGACATCCAAATTCTTCTAGCCTAAATACTTTTTTGATGAATTTGGCTGTTTCATATATAGTATCATCTAGAACAGAGACTGGATATAATTTCTAAAATTACATACTGATTTGAAGTTTGCCTTTGTCTAAATGATGAAATTATCTGTTATGACACAGCATAAAACAGAATAGTTTAAAATACTATTAAAGATCCCAACAGGAAACTTGGTCTAACTCTCAGCCATCGAGAGAAGGCAAACAAAACTGAACATAATCAGAAAAAAGAAAGTAGCAGCAGGAGGAGGTGAGTACCAAAACACAGATTATAGAAAAAAAACACTAATGAAGCAATAATGAAAAGACAATAGATTAAACTATTCTAGTCATCATAAAAGAGAAATCTATATACTATTAGCCATGTGTAGCTCCGATCTATGGCTAGCTAAATCTGCGGACCAGGGACACTTGGAGGCTAAACTTTTCAGCAAACTTGGGCACTCTCCAGGTGTTCAGAAAACTGAATTTTTTTAAAAAATACACAGGGGGTTTAAATCCCCCCCACGTCAGGTGGCTGATGGTGAGACAGGGGAGCCATGCTGGGTTTAGTGGCATGCGCAGCCAGGGAAGCCTCACTAGGTCCAGTGGCGCTGGTCGTGCAGCCCAAGAGCCCACTGAGCCCAGAAGGAGCTGTTCCAGTCTGGCCTGGCAGCGGAGGTTGGCAGCCATGGCAGCGGAGGCCAGCAGCTGCACTGAGCCTGGGCGTGGCAGCAGCAGAGGAGGCTGGCAGCCGCACTGAGCCCAGCAGTAGCTGGCAGCCACATCAAGCCAAACCCATTCACAGCAGGGCTGAGGCTGGCAGCTGCACTGAGCCCAGCCATGGCAGGAGGATGCTGGGCTCAGTAGTTGGTGGGGGACAGCTTGGAGCCTGGCCAGGCTTGGCAAAGGGGGGGGGATTTGGGATTCCTACCACGAGTCTCCCCTCCCAGCTGTAAGTAAGAAAAACTGACATATATCTCATGTTAGAAAATGAACTTGATATTTTGCTTTATGGACTATATTTATTGCTACACACAATGGACTGTGCACACACACACACACACACACACATAGGCTCAGAGAACTGTACACTTTAGGTCACCTGTTGTGATACTACACATAGAAGGTGCCTGCACAAGCCTTACATGTAAATAAGGTTTCAGCTATACAGTTACCAGCCTGGTGAAGAAGCACACACCTCCATTATTGTGAACAATAAGAAACAACAGCTTGAGCAGAGACAGCCCCCACTGCAGAATCATTTGTGGTCACGTACGAAACATCACTGCTTTGTTCCTGCATTGGTATTTCCTGCCAAATGGACATTTGGTTCACAATGAGAATGGCCAGCTTCATCAACACTACAATGGAGCATCCTGACGCCAAGGTTTTCACACCTGCCTAGATGCCCTTCTTTGAGTAAGGTTTTAGATTACAATATTGGCCACTCCCTATAGGTAACCTCCCACTCCTACAGGCAACCAATAGGATTGTTTTTGGGACGGACTAACAGGTAGGTGGGCCAAGAGGTTGGCACGGTTACCGCCCATCTCTTGAACTCACTAGAAAAGGAGAGAACCAGTCACCTGGCCCCTCCTACTTGATCAACTAGCTAGCAACCCCCGCAACAACCCCTGTCTGCTTTTTACTCCTCTTAAGTCTCACTTGCTATCCCCAAACCCTTGCCTTTACTTTGATCTCTTGATCTGCAGTCAAGAGACCCACACGTTCTGGCTGGTTCTGGTCGTGTGCGAACTCCCTTTAGTTTCCATTTCTCCCCATCCATTCTTCATTGGAACAACCAAAGCTGCGAGACAGATAAGTATTACCCATCATCACCCCCACCTGCTAATGCAACTGTGCTTATTTGAATACTGTAATTCTAAGGAACTTGATTGAACGTGTGAGTGCATCAGTATTGTTTGTATGAGATTTATTCTTTAAGTAAAAGACATTTATTTTAACAACAACAGCCTCGTTATCTTTCTCTGGTAACCCTTGGTGGGAACAGGACCTTGGTATAAACTGGCAAGAACCCATTTATGAATTGCCAATTGCTGTAAATACAGCAATTCGGCTAACAGCTTGAATTTCTAGTTTTATTTTGACCAGCTTTTCCCATTTTTAACAAGTCAGACTTGCTGCCAGCCTGCCAAAATAAAATCCAGTTAACAATGCCAGCCTAGGATGTATTTTAAGCTCTGAGTTACTGTGGATCTGTTTGGCAGAAATGATGTAGCACTAGGTTGCCATCCTCCAGGTGTGGCCTGGAGGTCTGCAGGAATTACAAGTGATCTCCAGACTACAGCAATCAATTCCCTTGGAGAAAAAGAGAGCTTCAGAAAGAAGACTCTATAGTATGCCATAGGTTCTAGATGATATGCTTACTTCAGCAGTGTGTATACTGAGACTGGAATGATTCTAGATGAAATTCCTCCCCAAATTCCCCCATGCATGGGCAGCACCCCCAAATCTCAAAGGAATTTCTCAGGCCAGAGTTGGCAATCCTAAGTAGTATCTGGACAGACTCCTTTCGTGCAATACTGTTAGTGCTGTACCCATCAGATCCCAGTTTCTGGTAAGTATGACCTGTAGTAAACTGTTCAGCCCAGTGTCCTCTGGCAGAGTCAGAAATAGTTTCTGTATGTGTACGTATGTATAAGATGAATCCTAAAGGTGATGATATACTTCTACTAGTATAATGTACAGTATTTAGGCACATTCTTTAAAAATAGATTTAAAAGTTCCCTGTGTCTGAATTGTCTAAAGCACAATTGTTTCTAAACCGTCTTCATCCTACATACATTCTTTTACCTCAGGAATAAAACGTCCTTAAGATGCCGCCTGTCAGAAACAGTCCTAACGTAAAGACAATCAAGCCCTTTCATTGTCTTTGGTAAAAACAGAAAGGAGTCTTGTAGCACCTTAAAGACTAATGTATATTGAAGCGTAAGTTTCCATTAAGTTTCCATTGGTTGGAGCCAACTTCATTAGGTGCCTGAAGGGGAACCCCAGAATCACAGGAAGAAGAAAAATGTTAACAGTGGGTTAAAAGAAAAAACACTTCAGAAGTCTGTGGCACTTCTCTGCAAAATTCAGAAGTATAATAAGTGAATGATGGTCGCTGTGCTTATCTTGTGTACCTTTGAATTTTGTACACTGGTGTCAAAAACTCTTGGAAGTCATGGTATTTTAACCCTTGTTACACCTGGTCTTTCTTTCTCTGCCTCCTCCATGTTAGTAAATATACTTCTACTAAATACACTGCTGCTGAAGTGGGAGTCTTTCCTCCTAATGCTTAAATCTCTCGGTGTTTAAAATGCCACAAGACTCCTTTCTGGTTTTGCTGAAGGAGATTAAGGTGGCAATCCTTATGCCCCACTGAACTCTAAGAAGCTTTCTTCTGAGTAAAAATGCTTGGGATAGCACTGTACCACAGCAGCCCCAGTGAAGTTTCTATGCAGGGAACAAATTTCATTTCACATATTTGGTTGAAGTCTACTCATGATGAAAGACATAGCAAGCAATAAAACTAGTTTCAGATATGTGAAAATGCTACAGCTGGCTCAAGATATGATAATCAAGACAGAAAATCCAGATGATGCTCCATGTAGAGCGGAGACACATTAAGAGTGTGCCAGGAGATATTGGGAAGTAGGGACCAGCATCGCACCATTGTGCAATATCATTTCCAGCACAAAAAGGGAAGTGATGTCTTTGTATCAGGTTGATGCTCTAGGGTTTGCCCAAAACTCTATAGTATAACCTGTGAAGCAGTACCAGAGAACAGGGGGCAATGCCAGAATCCCCCCCCACATGATATTAATAAATTAAATAACTGATAATTAATCATCTTCTATGGTGCCCCCAAGCTGTTGCTCAGTTTGTTGGCTCATTTTGTCCAAGGTTGGCACTATATCCACAGAATTTTAAATGGTAAACGTAGTCTGAAATTTAATTTTATGCTTTGTAATTGTTTACTCAGACTGATATAAAGAATATTTTGGTGGAGTAGAAACAATATTAATAACACACGAAAGCAAAGGATAATGACATTTTCATCCCAGTGTAAGAGGTACCTATCTTAATGATATATATTGCCAAAGGACTTTTTATTCAAAAATACCATGCATTCAGTTGTTCATTCGAGTAATTACTTTCAACGTGTATAATTTGTTAATGAATTAACAAAGGAGGAATCATACTGGATGCATTTATTAACTACGGTGAGAATAATGTTAGTAAGCTTGTCTTCTTGACTCATTCTTTCTCTTCTATATCACCAACTTTGACCTAACCTCTTTGCTTAGGTGAAGTTTAACAATTAGAAACTACCTGTAATTATATTTATTTCCTTGTATTTTGCAGTTTAAGTTTTGCCTACCCATAGTTCAAATTATACATAGGGAAGGCCTTGACTGGTACAGAAATGATCAAAACCCAAAGTGAAATTTTCAAGCTAAATGTTTCAGCATGCATTAAAAATGCAAACATGTGGACTAATGGAGAAATCTCCACAGATTTTTGTTGATACAGGATGAGCAGCCATTCAGATATGACATCATGACCACAAGTAAAGCCTAAACCATTACACTAAACTTTAAGGTGTGGATACTCCAAAATGGTAGCAGCTAACTTCACTTTCCACAGCTTCTGCTGAGAAAAGTGAAGTGTGTTCTTTTTATATATTCAGTCTACAGAGATTTGAATCTCAGAAGCTTGGCAAACCTAAATCTTGTTTTGTTAAGTTACTCTAACAGTAAGCCCAAGGAAAGCACTTCTCCAGCAACACAATTATAACACAAACCTTAGTAACCACAACAACAAAAGCAATGATGGTTTTTGCATATCCATTTAAAGAGCTGTGCCAATTGTTTGAAACTTAAAAATGATACTTACAATGATAACCAGGTTCAATGGTTCTTTGGGCTTCAAGGCTGTTTATTGTGATTTGAAAGATAATGTGCAGAAGCAGAAACGTTAGACTCATGAAACACAGGGATTTTAGTAACCGTCCTGTATGTCCTGGGGGGGAAAAAGGAAAGCAATTAATTTAATGTGACAAAACTGTCCTACATAAAAAGATGCAAAGAAATAATAAAACTATTCCTTTGTATATTAAGAAGTTTCTAAAATTAGATATTAAATTTCATAACTTTATTGTGCAACATACTAGACATTATACCAAATAAAGGTATAAAATGTGGAAAAATCCTCCCCCTACATGTAAGCTAGAAACAAAAGGAATGGTTGAAAGAAACATAATCACATATTGCAATACCACCTCCCCCTTTATTGTAAACTTTTAGTATATTTCATATAAAGGATGTACATGTTGAGTAAAACAAAGCAAAAAAACCAAAGAAATAAAACAAAGAATTTGAAATGATCAGCATAGTCTTCTGAGGCATAGCACTACATTCCATCAAAGTATGGTATTTTGCTCTTCTCTGTATATGGTGTAAATCTGAGTATTATGTCTGACTGGCAAACTAGCATTTACACTTTGTTGTGATTTTGGATAAAACAAAGCAAAGCAACATATCCAGATTTTATAGTAATTGGGGGAAATTTTCTTTTAAACACATTAAAAGCAAAAGTTTGATTTCTATGTGGTATTAGAAGTATGATTATACAAATTTTGTTTCTCCCTATAAAAGCATTACTAGCATTACTTCTACACAAAATACAGTTTTTAGCTTACGTTATTCCTTTAATTATGACATTATAATAATTCAAGAAATTAGAATGCAAACAGAGATACTGTTATTGACAAGAATGCAGGGGAAGCTGTGATAAAATTTACAGTAAAATATGATTCAAGAAAACTGGATTTAGAAATGCAAACAGAAAAGGGACTAAATAGGTACGGGAAAATCATACTCTAAACATTTTGCAGGGCTTCCTGTTTTTTCTAGAGGTTTTTGTGCCCAGAATAGTATTAGAACTGAGCTGCATCCTTTCCATCAATAGACAATACCGCTCTTCAAGCCAGTAATACTCTTTACCTGGCAAGTTCACATAAGCAAGGTACCCATTTTGCTAACAAAATATTTTGTCAGACTGAACATACTTCTCATTATTGCCAAAGGAATATTTCCAAATTGCAAAATATAAAAAGGTACTTGTCATTTGTCTGTTGGTGCTAAGCCTTTTCTGACTTACAATTGCACATATCAGGAGCCTTTCGGCCACACATATCAGAGGCACGTGCTACCCACAACCCTCCCAATATACGTTGTTGCCATGCTGTCTGAAATGGATAGTGTGCATATTCTGCACATATGTACAGACTCCATATGCACTACATGAAACCCTGATTTTTCAAAGTTCTGGCTCATGAGTACCAAAGCTGAAAATTCCCACATTGCCCCTTTCACTCAACATGGTAACCATGTGCATTGGGAGGATTTATGTACAGCTGCCAACTTCCTGGTATGCATGATCCTAACATTTAACCAAGCAAAGGGCATGATTTAAATATACCTTAGAGACAGTATAAAGGATGATGAACATGGGGTTATATGTAATAGAAGTATATGACCAACAAAAGAGCACATCAAAATTGGTTATTCACGTAAGCTATTGGTAGTTTACTAGCTGCTGCACAGTAGCACATGCACCCCTAGAAGACCCAGGAAAAGATCACAAAAAAGATCTGGATATTTTTTTAAAGCTTTTAGTTCATAGGATCCCCCCCCCCCCGTGCTCTTTATCTGACA